CGGGCCGGACCGATAACGCGATAACGGCTCGGATACGGGGGAGCGTCGCCTTTCTCCAATTAAACGAGCAACGTCCCCGCGACGCTTTCGCCCTCCCCCTCCTGTTAACCGTTGTGCACGCTCGGCACAACGGAGGCGTACGATATACGCCCCCGATAAAATTGTTTCGCCCCATCTTTTTCTTCAGGTGAGGCTAAACTTGCTCGTGAAGGATGCTGGAAATTTTTTTTTTCCCCCCATGTTTATCTCCATTTATTTACGAAGGTTTCGTGAATTCTTCACTCGTTTCGTTTCGATTATCTTACGTATTATACTAATTGATTTGCTCTTGATTTTTCAGAATGCTCGCGGAAAGTTGAATGTTCGATCGAGTTAATACCAAATACGATACTTTGTAATTGTTTCAATATTACAAAGCAATTCTAATATAAATCCCGTCAAAAAATAATCGATCGAACGATACAAATTGATGAAAAGTAAATAAATTTTCGTTCTAAATTTCGTTCGAGTTAGTAAGTATCGAGAAATTCGGGATGTTTTCGCGCGAAAAAAAATAACAGACGACATTGAAAAAAAACAAGGGGGAGGAGAAAGAGTGGCGAGTAATCGGAGGTGGTCGGGAGGGGGTTGTGTACGATGCACCTAGCTGCAGCTTTTCTAACGGAGAGAGATAAGAGCGGCGAAAACGGGTGGCTGTAGCCCGTAAATATCGAGATGGGAAGGGGAGGCGATCCTCACCTCCCCCTTCACCCTAGTTTATCGCCGGTATCGAAAGTCGCGGAATCAGAGTCGCGCCAATTGTTTTAACAGCGTTCGTCGAAGACGAAGTTAAAATCTCCTTATATCTCGAATCTTGATCCCTTGTCGCTTTCCTCGACATGCGACTCCGTGGAATACGAGGTTTCCCTGGGAATTCTTTTATATTTATTTCCTTATTGTGCGTCACCGGAGAATGCGATAAAACATTTATGATCGCTCACGCACGGAGGAAGTCGCAAGACGAGGTTTAAAGATATTTATCGTGGTAATTGATTCTGAAATTTATGCGTCTTTGTTCTATCGAGATAAAGGCGATCGTTTTTTTTTTTTTTTTTACTCAATTATCTCGCAAACTTTGTTTGCCAAATTAAACAAATGAATTCTTCTGCTTGATCGTGGAGATAATAATCAGAATATTAAAAAAGAAAAGAAACGAGAGAAATCGGAAAAATTCAAACTCTAGAAAGAAATTTCCATTTCCTGAAGAAATTACCATCGAATCGAAGATGGACGTTAATCGTTCAATGCGATTCGATTAATTAATTTCTCTCCTCTTCACTCTCGTTAAAAACGCTAAAACGCTTCGAGATCGCGACGATCGAAAAGAAAGAAAGGAAGAAGCGCGTTCACGTATGCCAAACGTTCATTTGTATTTAATGGCTTGTTACTTTCACCGGCCGAGTGACGTCATTAATCATCCCGATCGTCAGCGTCATCGAGAGGGGGCGGACAGGGCTCGTATAAGGTGTTTCGGGTTAAAGGAGTGCCTCGTTCGTTTGTTACGACCGGCGAGATACGGATCTCGATAATTGAATCGACCGATCGGGAGGGGTATCCCGCGGCGCGTGATACGACCCTGCTCCTTTCGTCTTCTCCTTTTTTTTTTTTTTTATTCTTTACGTATGCGAGAACGCACAATGCAAAGTGCAAGGGGAGTAGATACGACTTGGATCGTCGTGATAAAATGGCATTGCACAAACCAAATGTGTATTATTTTCATTCGCGTGAAAGAATTATTTTAGATTTCGCTCTTCGATGCTCGAGATATTTCAGATATTTCGCGTTAACAATATCCGTGTTATCGAAACTTTGATCAATTTTAAACAATAATATATCTACGTACGATTTAAATTACACGTTAATTTTTGGAAATTTTTGTGTTTTCGAAATATCGTTTCAACGATCAATGATCAAAGTTCCATCTAAGAGAAAAAAAAAATCTTTGATCGCGTTCGTTCCTAATTTGGAATGAAGACATTACGAACGGTTCCCCGGGAGAATGGTAATTATGACGACCTGCATTAACGAGCAATTAGGTAAAACGACACGGGAGAAGGCTAGGCAACGGAACGCGTCGCTACAGTTGTCACGAAGACCGCGCGAAGACCGACAAGAATCGCGCCCGTTGGAAATGTTTATCTTGTCACAAATCGATTGGAGCGGTTTCTCGGCGCGGCTTAATTAAATTTACCTGTTATCTTCGATCGAGAGCGAGACTATACCTCGCCTGCCGCTTCCACCACGGAGAGAGTGCGTATTCACGGGTGCCGCGAATAGGGTGGCGAACACCCGCGACGCTCCTCGCTCCTCGACCCGTCACCGCTCATTAATTGAGAAATTAATCCTTTTGGTAATTGCGCTTTTTACCAAGATAACGCAACGCATATTCTCATCGGAAGATCGAGAAGTCGTTTCTAGATCTTCGAAATTCGAATGAATCATTCTTTTTTTTTCGACACGACGAAAACATATTTATTTCACTTCCTTCGTCCTCCACAATGTTCGCCAAATAACGTCGTTGTTCAAACGTTGACAACCCCTCCTCCCCCTCATTTTTTATTCTCGAATTCTTTTTGCAGAAAGGAGATGGAAATCGAAATGATATTGCCAAGATCGAACGAAAGATCGGCTCGAGGAAAAGGAAATCGTACGAGGGATCTGATCTACGGTGGATACCGGTTTTCCACCGAATCCTCCTCCTCGACATCTTGGCGACGATGAGTCAACTGGCCAAGTATAATGCGTATCCGCGAACCTATCCTTCTCTCTCTCTCTCTCTCCCATCGATCCAAGTGTCCGTTGACTGGTAATGGACGAGCCGTGTCCGTTACTCCCTCACATTCGTTTATC